GCCTCCATTACGTGGAGTTGTGTTGCTACCCCCTCTCCCCTTGGATCTCCGCAAGGGATGTGAGGACTCTAAAACTTCACCTGAGCCTCCATCGGCATATGGGTGAGTAGATAATGGCTGAATTTTCATTGTAGGGTGCACTATCCCTTTAAGATCCAGATGAAATGGCTCTAACTAGAACAGGTGTTTGATTTGTCCGTTCTGGGCTACGGTAACATGTTGGCGCAACAAGGTGATCTCCTTAGACGAGGACTTGCTCCCTGCGTAGATATAACTGGCTCATTCTAAGGTAGAGAAAACACAACGATTGCTATTTTTCAGGTGATTTATACACTAAACAAAACATACTTATCATATTATATTCCATTTCTACCAATAGATCCCCCCAAATCTGGATCTTTAAATTTAACTCCATACATCTTAGGGATACAGACTCAGAGACTGAGTTGTTCCATATAAATGTTGTGTTCTTGTATTTATTACTGGGGCAACATGATCCCAGAGAATGCTCTAATTCTGCCTTACCAGAGATGTATGGCTAAATGACAATAAACTGAACTGACTGGATCAATTGATTGATTGAATTGTGCATGATTTTATTTAAAAATAGAATACAACCACCCACAAAGGCTCCTACAACTAAATTTTACCCCAAAGTTAAGGTATTGATTCCACCATTCACCACGACAATAGCCTAATAATGTCTTAGCAAATAATCACATTGCATTCAGAGAGGCAAATTAAAGTGTGTTTTGTTACATGGTTGTAAAACGCTGATCAATTAGCTCTATCATTATTTCTAGCACACAGACAAAGAGCAGAACAGAGACAAGATAAAAGCCTCCAGTGTACTGAGGAATCAAAACTCACTTAAGATGTCAATAGTGTCACAGAGAGAAGACGCCTGCATCAGAAAACAAATCCATGTCAATACTTTGCCAATCAGTTAATTTCATTACAGCATTCAATGCCATTTGCTGATGGGGATAGCAAATTGTGTGCAAACAAAGCAAAGGTCAGAAATGTATTGTTGAAGTGACAGATTGTAGTTTGCACTCAGTGGCTGTCTCAACGATTTATAAGCACCTCTGATGAAATAGACGAAGCGTAATGTTAAATTCATTAAAGTTTATTTTGCGACCCTTTGACATTTTCACACTGTTTAAAGTACCTGTCCTTTTTTTGCTTACACTCGTGTGTTGACCGGCTTTTGTCCTGCTATCACCTGGTCCTCTCTGGATCTGTTTATGTCCAGGAGGAATGCATCACAACTTACGATTTCTTTAAGCAGCTGCGAGTGGAAATTGCTTTTTGGGGAGACGTTTATGACCCCATTCAAAGGCTGACATCTCAAACACAGGAAGGAAGGAATTGGGATGAAGTGCCATACAGTATCAGGAGGTCTGTTAAAAGCTCCTGCTGCCTCTCTGACAAAAAACCCTTTTAACTACAAATAAATAAAGGTTTCATAGACTTTTCTTTTAAAATTCATTCATATTCCAACCAAAAACCCACCAATCATACACAACATAACTTCAGATCTAACATTTCAGACTCTCCCCACAAGCTCTAAAGACATTGTCGCCCATACAAGAAGCACTTAACTCACCCATGATGTCACACGTGGATCAGGAGGGGTGGGTGGGGAAGAAATGGGCTCTCCTCCTGAAGGGTGCTCAGGATTAGGGCCTGGAAGTCTGGTAGATAATAGATCAAAGACACACAGCAGAGAGCACTTCTTGCTTTTCCCACATAACGCTCATCTTCATAGACTTTGGTTCCTGGAATCACACGCAATGTTCAAAAAGGGTCACCGCTGACACCACAGATCACTGCTGTGATTATCATGTAAATGTGAGCTTGAGTGCAGGTAGCGACAATGCCACAGACCCACCGAACATGAATGAATGGGTTGCACTTTTCACTTTATGTTCCTGAATTTTCGAGGGACTGTTGGGTAATTGCCTGTGAGCAAACAAACTATCCACTGTGACTTTAAGGAGTAATTAAAACCTTAGATCTCCCATTTTTCTCCTTTAAATTTCAGACTTAAGAGGAGATATGCTTAATTATCCAACATTTATGAGTTCTGATATACAGCAGTCATTCTTCATTTAGTTCAGTGGTGAAAGAACTTCTCAAATATTTTACTTATTCCTGAGTCAAAGTGCAACACCATAACTTAAAAATCCTCTATTCAAAGGTAAAATCCTGCATTCAAAAAAGTATTGAAGTAAAAAATGATTATAGACAAGACATATTTACAATAAAATTAGGCAGCAAAATGGCACCTTGCATGACATATTATTGGATTGCTATTGCTGATACATATAAACAGTATTTATATAACAACATTTTAACTCTGCCTACTTTCAATATTTGGGGTCGTATAATCTGCAACATGCATCCTATTTTATACACAGATCATTTCTTTTGTGTGTTAAATCTGAAAGAAATGGACATTTTGAGAAATGGCTTCTATTTGAAAAGCTACAGCGAGCAGATGGTTAGCTTAGCTTAGCATAAAGCCTGGAAAATAGGGGAAACAGTAAGCCTGGCTGTGCTCAAAAGTTCTGTGTGCAACATTAAGAGTATCAATATAGCAGCAAAGCACAAGGAGTGGGGGAAAAAATCGATACAGCATAGTATCGCGATATATTTGTGTGGCAATATCGTGTCGGCACACAATGCTTAGTACCACTTTTTATCATGTAAATGATCAATAAAATACAAATTAACTTTAGATAGCCTACTGGAATAATATAATCAGTTGCTTTTTCAGTTCACTACATACATTTTGCTGCCACAAAAAATGTCTTTAGTGAGATGAACAGACTGAAAACTTTATCTTATTAAACACATGTTGACAGTTTTCCTTTAGAGACATAAATTGAAAAAAAGGTCATATATCACAATATATTGTGCGATATATTGCAATACTTATATTGCAATATACTCATTTAAAATTGCAATAATATCGGATCATGATAATATTGTATCATGGATCCTCTAGTGATTCCCACCCCTACATACCAGTATTTGTTATGTGAAGATACAGTGGGGTAATGGCATCCTGAGCAGAGAATTAAGTCACACTCCCTCTATGTGTGTTATAACACGAGCTTCTCTGTGGTTTGTTGTGGTGAGCTGGTCTGTCATAGTGTACATGTTAGCGCATGTGTGTATCCCACTAGCTAGCTCATTGCTGCTGCTTTGCACTGTGTCTGTACAGCAGCATTCTCGGAACCCATCGGCTGTATTTGGCGTCTGACTTCCGGCAGACAGCGATATAGCCTCTGGGGGCAGACCCCCGATTTTTCGGCATTCCGGTTTGATTTGGGCGGAGGAGGCAATTTCCGTTTCCGACTTCCATTTATATATAAGTAAATATGCTGATCCATTGCGATGGATTCAGAGTTTGCAGTGACACCAATTGTGTTCCGCCTCGTTAGTTCACCGCACGGACCGTTTAACCTGGCAACAACTGCAGCCGGCTCAAACATGATTGGTCAATATCACGCGGACTACAAACAGCCTACAACCAGAAACCAGGGCTCTTCCGCTCTTCTTCCGTAGGCAAGGTCTCCGGGGTTTGCCTACAGACTCTACATTCACTGAATGTAGAATGTAGAGACTAGTACAGCAGTAACTGTTGATATCGGGACAGTGTCGTAATGGAAGTGTAGCGCCTATCCTCTGATTCCCCCCTGGTTAATGCCATTAGCTCTCTCAGCACTGTTGCCAGTTTAGCGCTAGTTATGGAGTTAGCACTGTTAGCTGCCAGCTCCGCCACCTCAATGAGAACCATTTGCAGACACTCATACATTCTGAATTTCGCATAGAGTCCCCTTAATAAAATCAACCTACCAGCACCTCTATAGCTCAGCAGTTACCAAGGTATATCTCATTGATTTAAATCCCAAATTTAAAAACGACCAGTTGCAGTTTTACAAAACCAGGCTGCAGCTTCAAATATAACAGAGAGATGTGAGAGCGGTGTCAATGTTCTCATCTACCTTTGAACAAGAAAGTGAGTAAGAGTATTTTTACAAAATGCCCAACTATTCCTTTAATCTACTAAGTAACTAGCAATCAACTAGTAACTGTCAGTAATGAGTAGTGTAGTAAAAAATACAGTACTGCCCTCAAAAATGGCAAAGTATTAGAAGCATTAAAATGGTAAAACTCACGAAAAGTATCTGTAAAATTACTAAGTGTGGTAAAAGTACTTAGTTACATTTTACCACTGACAGTTTCACATCAAGTAAATGTATAAATTGAGAATGTTCTGCCTCTCTCAGACAATAAATGGAACAGAATAAAAGGCGTCAACAGTTAAAATATATACAAGCTCATCAAACACGTCACACCGTGTTAAATGTAAACTACAGCAACAAGAGGCGTGTGGTCTCTATATTCGTTTACTAGTAGTACCAGTCCCCCTTTGGCAGCACAAACTAACTGTGAGGTGAAACTTCAGTGCGGGCAAAGAGTCGTCCATCAAACGACTTCATCGAAATTTGTGGCCGTGCTGAGCCAGAGTCTGCATCAGCAGAGCCATTAGTGCTGAGGGACGAGAGAGAAATCAATGGTCATTCTGTTCATGGGAGACTCCTATTCAGGTGCAGCCTTCACTCTGTGCAAATACTAAGTGCTGAAGTCTGGAGTGTAAAAATGGCCACAATAATAGATAGCCACAAGCAAAACAGGCACTTTATTGAAAAATCTATTGGAAGAGCAACTTGGCTTTTAGAAACTGAGACCTTGATACGCAGACTAATGTTTTCTACGAATGGCATCTACTTCCTGGATTCAGGATGAGGACTTGAAAATGCTCATTTCAAAAAGGAAAAAAAAGCTACTGATACAGAGTATGTAGAATCAATACTACAACAGAGCAATACTCCAGAACTTCACTCTGTATCGTATCACTCTGCTGCCACCTAATGGACACACTGGAGAACTCCATGATGGCACAAAGACATCCATTCAATCCCAAGTTGTGTCAGTTTCTTTCACACTTTTATTCACTTTTTTTCTAAGATGCTGCCTGAAAATAAACCGTAATTAATTAAACAATGACTTCATTGATTCATCACTCTTTTCTCAGCTCATTTTGATGCTGACGCCTTTAAAAGTGACCCCTGAAAGTAGAGTGAGTGAAATTACATCCAAATTATTAACCTTAATATTCATAAAGTTAGTCAGTGTTAAACATGACGACATTCTGGATTCAACTACGGCGCTACAACAATGATTCATTATTCTAAAATCTGAAAACAAGTATGTCTCCGAGTCAACAGTTTTGTTATTTCAGTGGTTAATGATTAAATCGCTAGAAACAAAAGCAGTTACTGTTAATGGCCTGCACGTACGTAACCTACAGAAGAGTTCTTACTGACAAAGAAATAGCTTATGTTACAGTCTTTCTGATTTCAGTCTGAACCCTGCGCTCACTGTGGGATGCCTTCCAGTGTGTGTGTATCTGAGTAGAGTGTGTGAGGAGAGAGCTGCTGTGGCTGAGTGGACACTATGAGTGGAACGCCGTGGATGACCACGTTCTGGCTGCCCAGGCTGATGTTTGGCACCAGCAACGCACTCTCCTCACAGGGTAAGGCACTCTCCCCGACCGCAACTGTCCCTGCTGGCTTGGACATGTCCTCTGATGGAGCACACACCATGTCAGGTGGAGTTGCTGTGGTCATCATGGTGGTGTTGCCCTCCGTCACCACCGTCACCTCTGTGCCACCCTCCTGGATCAAGGCGTTGAGGCCCTCCAGCTCAGAGCAGGTTGTGATGAAAGTCTGCGAGCCGCTGCTGGAGTCCTGAGCGGTTATGGCCGTGTGCAGCAGGGCCTGGTGGAGCGGGTGGTTGGTGTTGTCGGGGCTGAGCTGCGTCAGCAGCACCGTCTGGGGTTCGAGGGTTGTGTCTGCAGTTTGGGACGACCCAAGGGGCTGCATGGGCGCCAGCAGGTTGACCTGTTGGATCATTGAGTTGACAACCATGTCCTGGTTTTCTGGGCTGAGCAGGACCATGTTGGTCTTATGCTGACTGTCCACACCTGATGGAATTAAAGGGTTCTCCTGACCCAGAGGGTGAGACACGATGATTTTGAGCTGTGCACTGTTGTAAGGAGCCATTGCGTCATGTGGGATGGGAACTTCGAGCTGGGTGTTGCCCTGTGACGTGACCAAGTTGACTGAATCGGCCGGGGTGGAGAGCTGAAGCTGCAACACATTCTGAGTGTCTCTGTGCTGCTTCTTGTGGCTCCGCAGGGAGTCCTCCCTCACAAACGATGCGTCGCAGGAGTCACAGCTAAAAGCTCGAGCTGCTTCTAGTTTGGCTCGATACCTTGAGCCGACAGGTTTCGGAGAATCGCCTCCTCCACCTTTCCGTCCACCTCTGCCACCCCTGACACCTTTCCCACCGCCACCTTTCTCAGGCTTATCCGAGTGGCACTTCTTTTTGTGGATGACGAGGTTGCTGCGCTGTTTGGAGGCGAAGTTGCAGAAGTCACATTTAAAGGGGCGCTCCTCCGAGTGGATCCTCTCGTGGACTTTGAGCGCCCCCTTGCTGGCGCAGGAGTAAGTGCACTTGGAGCACTGGATGGGCTGAGTGGGTTGGTGTTCTCGCGAGTGCTGCCGCAGAGCATTCTTGCTGGCACACTGGAAATCGCAGTGCGCACAGTGGAAAGAGTTCTCGGTGCCATGTTTGATCTGAATGTGAGATTTCAGGTTGCCTTTCATGGCGCAGCGGTACTCACAAAAGTCACACTTGTAAGGCTTTTCACCGGAGTGGATCCGGATGTGCCTCTTCAGGTCTGAGTTGATTTTGAACTTTGCATCACACTGTTGGCACTGGAAAGGTGCGTCCCCTTGGAGTGAAATAAAAGACAAGACAAAAACACTCAATGATTCTGAAAGCAGTCCACAAAACAGCATCATCTCACAGTTGGTTTTTTACCACCTACCAGTGTGCGAGCGGAGGTGGACTGTGAGCTGGCTGGAGTTGCGGCTGGCATACGGACAGATCTGGCACTTAAAAGGCCGTTCGTCATAGTGGATACGCAGGTGCTTCTTCAGACTGCTGCTGTCTGCTGCTGCGTAGGGACAGTGTTTACACTTGTGCGGCTTCTCGCCTGTGTGTGAGCGGCTGTGCATGTTGAGCTTGTCCCGCCGGCTGAAGCGCTTGTGGCACAGCTCGCATTCAAACGGCTTCTCACCTGGGTGACAAATGGAAAACACAATGTGTGTCAATATCTGATTCTGTGGTGTTTCAGCAACAGGACAATCACACGTGCAAGGCTTTGATGTACCAGTGTGGGTCTTGAGATGCCGCTCCATGTCTTTTTGGCCATACTGCGTCTTAAAAGTGCAACCTGTGGATCGACAGAAGACGTGGTTTTATAAGGTGTGCAGCCTGGGTGCATATGGAAAGTTAATCTAACAGTGTCCTAAATAAATAACAGCTAATGACATGGGACTTGGCAGAAGTGCTGTTTTCTCTGCTTGGCAGCCGAAAAGCAGGAATGTGTTACAGTCGTAAACGGCGAGAGGCACCAACCTGAGAAACAGCAGCTGTGTCTCTTTGAAGTCAGGGAAGGTTTTAATTTTTTGGAAGGTGTTTTCTGTGCTTTGGTCAGGATCTTTTTGACACCTCTCATAACACAGGTCTGGTAGGTTTCCTCGAAAACAAACTCGGCGCTGGAATCTGAGCAGAACAGGGACATGAGTGCATGAGAGAAGCAGACTGTAGATCAAGTCTGCATGTAAATTATTAACAATAAAACCAGAAGTTGAGTGTTTTACCAGTGAGGGCGGCTGTTGCAGTAGTGGCTGATGTGTCAGAGGTGGGCAGGGAGCATCCATTTTGCTTATGGGCCAGAAAGACCTCGAAATTATTATACTGCTGCTTGCAGAAGCCACAGATGTGGATGTCTGGGCTCACCTCCACCACCACAGAGTGTCCTGCACCGACACCAGAAGGCAGAAAACACAAAGCAGGAACATGTAATGTCAACAGGAAGAAGAAACTGGCAACAACATGACTTCAATGTAACGTCACAAAACCACGTCTGAGGCGTTAGTGAGCAGCGGTTTCCCTTTACCTTCGGCGTTGTATGTTGCCATTTTCGAGCTTGTTTTGCTGGCTATCAACTCATCTTCTGCCTCCTCAGAAACCTAAACGACGTCCACCATGTTGTTAAAGTGTCGCCGGCTCGAGTACAGACGCAGTTACTTTAACTATTATCATGTTAAATGTGAGAAATCAACCGTTGTTTGATTATAAATGGCTTTAACAGTTTACTTCTCTGACAAAACTGATACAAATCGGTTTTTACGACACGCTACGGGGTTTACGGCAGCGGTATAAGCACGCGTTTTGTCTAGGTGACGTCACATGATGCTTTTAGGGCTGTGGGAAAAAATAGACTTCCCCCTCAGTGTGAAAATTTGGCAAGTTGGGGACAATATCTGTCGTTATAATAACGTTAGAGAGGTCTTCTTTAAACATTTGCATCGGATATCTCTAGGGAAAAAATTAGGCTTGATATGGAAGATTCTTACTTCTGTAAATGACAAGAAGAAACAATCTGCAATTTGTTTTA